CGTTCCTGATACTGCTCTAGACGGGCGTTTATCTCGCCGCAGGCAAGCTGCAGGGCGCCGGCGATGTTACCCTCGGCCCAGATCATGTGAACGAAAGAGTGAAAGTAATGCACGCTAAAGTCAAATTCGCCTTCGGAGTTAAGTCGTGTCAGCTCTGTGGTTAACGTGATAAAAAAACGCAGCGGCATTCCGTAATGTCTAAACACGTTGGACATTGCATCTGAGTGATGACGGAACAGTGTAGAGACGTCGTGAGCCTCGTCGTCGCGCTCGTGCAAATGCATATCATAGCGCATAGTAAAGTTTCGAAAAGCGCAGAGGCCTTCACAAAATGGAATGCAATCTTGATAGGGAACATTATGTACTAGAGCCAGATGAACTTGTAATGCCTCTGCGCTGAAATATTGTTGCCTCTCCCGCACGTTACACAAATGACAGGTTACCATTTCCGAGAAATAAAACAAAAGACACCTAAATGTCCAACTTCGAGAAGACAATGATGGGTGACCGCCCGTCGCCCTCGCTTTTCTGCAGAACTAATCCCGTCATGTGACGCATACTTTCAAGCTCTTCGTCACTGAGCTCTGAAAAGTGTTTAGGCAAAAATACCTTGACAATGTCGTCTGGCAGCTGGAGGGACACGAAGACAGACGGCCCGTAACGTGTGTCCAAACGTCCAATGTCTAACACAGTCAGATTGACATCAGACGGAATCAGATCCATCTTAACAAAGTTTGACGGCGATTTCAAGAAGTTAAGCTAGTCCAGGAGGTTCTCCATCATTGGGTCGGCGGTTGCGGCAGTGGGCTCCTGTAATAAAAATGTATGTTAAAAAACAAAAATAAACGCGTTTCAAATATTTTTTTCCCCTCACCTCACGTGTAGTGGCACGCTGTGAAGAAACGGTGGACGTCCGTCAGTTTTATAGCGACCAGTTTACGAAACGAGTGGCACCGCGAGACATGTCTGGACGTGACAGCCTCCACAATGGCGAACTTGACACCGTGCATCGTATTAGGTTTCTGTCGTTTCCGCTCTTCGCTTTAAAGCAATCTGTTTACGATCTGACGAACGGCTGGGCGTGTTAAGTGGGAATTCGACACCAGGGCGGTTGCTTCTGAGTTTATGGTTATGATAAGCCAGCGCGAGGAAGCTGGCGGGCCGTCTCATCGTGTATTTTTGTAAGGAAAGTGGTAAATGTATCCGGCGTATATAGAAAGGTGTAGAGATACTGCGTTTCACATTTGCAAACCGGCCGTCATGACGGTCGTTCTCAATCAATTTCAATTTGAGACTCCCGCGTCTGTAACAATGATTGGTTCTTCGAAATCAGGCAAAAGCACGTATATTCGTAAATTGTTGCATTATAGAAATGAAATGTTTGATAAGAAGTTGGACGTCATTTTCTACTTGTACGTTTACGAGCAACCGTTTTTTAAAGATCGCCCGGACGTTGTGTTCACTAAGGACATTCCACAAAATTTGGATCCCGAAACAAACTCGCTAATTATTTTCGACGACTTTCTCTCGAACAGGACAAAACTAAAGGAGCTATGCGAGTATTTCATAGGCGCTGCTCACCACCATAACGCCTCCGTCATTTTCATTACTCAGAACATGCTTCACCAAAATTCATACTTTCGAACAATCAGCTTAAATTCTACAGCTCTAATGATATTCCGATCGGTGAGGATTGTCGATCAACTCCAGGTACTATCTCGACAGCTCTTTGGAGGGAAGAGAGGGCATGTCCTTCCGCGTATATATTCGGACGCGTGTAAAACACCATTCAGTTACATCCTGATCAACCTGTCGCAAACTTGCCCCGATAATTTCCGCGTGAGAACAAGGATCTTGCCGGACGAGGGACCAGAAGTCGTCTACGACACTTCCTCATGAATCGTTTGAAGGGACATGCACGGTTTTTGCACCTCTTGTCCAAAGCTAAATCGTCTAGACAAAGAGAAGTCCTTCTTCGTGACGTCAAAAAGGGACATCTAAACATCATTCGCGAAATTTGCTTAAAGCTTTGCATAGGAAACGTTCCACTCACACCAATTATAAAAAGGAAGGTAAAGAGGTTTGTACACCTCATAAGATCATTGGGATACAGAAAGAAAGGTCACGAGAATATAAAAAGGGTATTGATACTGTCACAGAATTCGACTATTTTTTTTTTTTATCTTTTTTCAAAGTTTTTTCGAGGGAACGCATCCCGTCATGGGACGCTCCCTTGCCCCACGCGTTGAGCGGCAGGGTTCGGGCACCGTCCGTTTTCTGTTTTATGGCCCCCTGGCCCCTTCGCCCCGAGGACGTTTCTCGTGAGGTTTTTTTAGTTAGTAGCGATGGGCCCCCTCACTTCCCGGAATGTTGGGAATGGTTTCCAGATGTCCGAGTGGGGGTGCGCTCTATGGTTCGCTGGGGTAGGCTCGGCTTGCCAGTGTGACGTGTGTGTGTTTTTTTTTTTTGTATTTTTGTTGTTGCCACTGCAGAGAAACAATTATTTTTTGGGCAAGGGAGAGTGGTGTCTGCCGCTGGAATTTGAGAAAGTGAGGACCTCGGCTTGATTCCGAGCCGAGTCAGGGCAGTGTATGCGGAGACTGGACCGGTGGGTGGACGCGTCGCGAAAGTTGGGAGCGACAGCGGGTGCGGCGGAAGGCGGAACGCGGGAAAAGCTCGGAGCGGCTCTGCAGGCCCCCAAGTGTGTGTGCTCGTGGATGAGTGTGGTGCCGAGGAGCATCGCACGGAGCATCCAAGCACGCACAGACTTCCCCGTTTCGACCAGCGTCGCAACAGGCCCCGCGTCACCCACACCACTCTCCGGAGCCAGGTTCGCATCACTCACCCTTGTAAAAATGTATCGTACAATTTAGAGCTATTATTTGGTTATACCATTTTTTTTGTTCCTTTGTTCGTGTCTAGTTTGGACAACGCCGTTGAAGCGTTGCTGTGCCGATTGTTTCTTTTATATGTGAGTAGCGCCTGTGCGCTAAGAAAAGTGGTGTGAATTTTTTTTTTACTTGAATTTCATTATGGGTAAAAGCGCCGCGCGCGAGAAGGGCAGAGTGACGTGTGATTATTATTTTGTTTTACGTTTGGTGTGTGCGTTGTCTTGAACGTGAGTCAAGTAAATTGTTTTCGTTATTTTAACGTAACGTGTCCGTCTCGTTCCTCGCCCCTCACAGTGAGTCCGTCCACCAGGGCGTGGACCTATCGTCCGGTCAGCGGTCCAAACAAAATTATAAATTTTGTTTGCATGGGGATCATTCGGATCTTTTATTGTTAATTTTCACCGAACCTGAGACAAACTGGCGTCCGCGACAGGACCTGCTGACCACGGTGACGGCTCAGTCCGTGAGGAGCGGGGGATGAGATTGAGGTCGCCTGGGCCGTAGGAAGTGCGCTGTGTAGCTGACGCCGTTGCGGGAGCTCACAGCCCAGCTTGCCGACCGAGTATGGAAAAAGTATCCTACGGTAACAGGAACTAGAAGGGGCCACGCGACCAAAATATGAAGCTTAAGGAGCTAGTGGCCTTAGGGCAAGATTTAGGTCTCGATGAAGCTAGCCTCAAGGAGTGGTTACAGACTCAGCTAGGGGATGCTAAGCAGGACTTTGTATCTGTCCAAGACTGGACGAGAGAAATGGTTAAAGGAAAATGGGAATCCCAAGAACGAGCGGATAAGCTTTTCGCTTACCGAACAAAAGCTGAGGCCGAAATTCGTAAGCTGGAAGAAATGTTAGAGCTTTTGCGGGCCCCGGACCGTGAGACAGTAAGCCTCGAGACGTCGAGAGGGAAGGCTCCGCAGGGCATTTCGACCGAAAATGTGGACGTATTCACCACGAAGTGGAACGTGTTCGACGAAGAACAAACACAGGCCGGGGTCTGCTGCTTGGGAGAGACGATCCCGCTGCTCGAGTCCGAAGAAGAAGCCCCAGAGAGGGAACAGGGCGTGGCCTACAAGGAGACCTCGACAGAGAGGGATGCTGCAGTGCCAAAGTCCCGCAAGTTAAAGGAAGAGGGGCTCCACATTGAAGGGGACGGTCCGGAGAACCAGAACCCGGCTGCAAAGCTGCCGCGCAAGTGCGGTTTGTCGCGTGTTGGCAAGACGCGATCGCCCAAGAAGAGGCGCATCGGCTGGTCGAGGTCGTCGAGTAGTGAGGACTTGCCGGAGGCTCCGGGAATCGCTTCGGACAACAAGGACGAGGAGGGAACAATCGGGCCGCCCGAGCGAGAGACGTCCCGGAAAGCAGCACTCGATGGACAGAGGCGCAAAGTTGGAGCCCGCAGCGAGCAAGGGGGCGGCGACAAGGACGGCGTCACCAAGGGGAAGCCGGCAGAGGTCAGAGCTTACGGCAGCAAGGCAGATTCGCCCGCCAGCCAGCCGGCGACGCAAGAGAACGGGAGCAGAGACCCGGAGTCCAGTGAAGGTTCACCGATCGTCCAGCCGCACGGGCATCTAAAGGGGAGAGCCGACTCAAACGCGCGGGCCAGGACACCAACAGAAGGGTCCTCGTTACGAAAGAGCAAGTGCTTCGAGACCAAGAAAGCGCCATCTCCGAGTGTGAGGCCGACAGGGCACCGAGATATGGCATCCAGGAGGAAGGCAGTGAAAGCAAAGAACGACTCTAGCGCGCGGAGTCAAGTGACAAAGTCGAGCGGGAGTCTGCAGAAAAGTCTTCGAAGAGAGACGGCAATCAAGGGGAACCGGCCGCTCTCACCAAGCGCAACCCGAACTCAAGACCGGAGGGCCTGCGAGCGGGACCCTGGAACAAAAGCTGTACTGGAAGCAGTGGGCTACGCTGCATTTCAGGGAGGCGCAGGGGCGACGGCTAATTCCAGGCTAAGCAATGCGGTGCGGAGGCCCCGATTGGGAGGTTAGAGAAAGACCCCTTGCTAGGCAGGTAGAAAAAAAAAAAGGGCCCCTGACTATTTGTAAAGCGGCTGAAAATGTAGCTCAGTGGTGCCTAACATGTTTCGTTTTGTAACTGTTAGGTAATTGTTAGAGTGTGTCGATAACCGGCATGTGGAGGCCCTGAGCACGAAAAGAATCGGCTATGTTCTTGTCTAGGAGCAAGCACAGGTGTATGTATAAATTAATTGTGTCAGCATGCGCTCCGCAAACCCTGTGTGAAATTGGAGGTTTACGAGTTATTTTTCTTGCGGTAAGCTGTTGGGAGTAACGAGAAGAGACTCTCTTTCTTTTTGCGGGGCCTTATCTTACGTGCTTGTTGTTTAGCAACTTTCAGGATGCTGACTTGAATATAAAAGAAGTGAGAAACTGGACTTTCATCATGCAGCCTGGCTTTCGCAAACGAAGTGTCTGTATAGCCTAAGAGGAGCCCCCGGGGTCTGTGTGTTTTATTTTGCGGTTTCAGCACGATTACATTTTTTTTTTTATGCTTCGTGTTTATGCTTGTTCTGTTCAGCCGTATGCACATGTGCAGGCTGCCGCCCAGTTTTGTGTCGAATTTTGTGATTGTCTTAATATTCACTGGTGAATATTTTTGAATTGGGGGTGGTGTCACAGAATTCGACTATTTTTTTTTTTATCTTTTTTCAAAGTTTTTTCGAGGGAACGCATCCCGTCATGGGACGCTCCCTTGCCCCACGCGTTGAGCGGCAGGGTTCGGGCACCGTCCGTTTTCTGTTTTATGGCCCCCTGGCCCCTTCGCCCCGAGGACGTTTCTCGTGAGGTTTTTTTAGTTAGTAGCGATGGGCCCCCTCACTTCCCGGAATGTTGGGAATGGTTTCCAGATGTCCGAGTGGGGGTGCGCTCTATGGTTCGCTGGGGTAGGCTCGGCTTGCCAGTGTGACGTGTGTGTGTTTTTTTTTTTTTTGTATTTTTGTTGTTGCCACTGCAGAGAAACAATTATTTTTTGGGCAAGGGAGAGTGGTGTCTGCCGCTGGAATTTGAGAAAGTGAGGACCTCGGCTTGATTCCGAGCCGAGTCAGGGCAGTGTATGCGGAGACTGGACCGGTGGGTGGACGCGTCGCGAAAGTTGGGAGCGACAGCGGGTGCGGCGGAAGGCGGAACGCGGGAAGAGCTCGGAGCGGCTCTGCAGGCCCCCAAGTGTGTGTGCTCGTGGATGAGTGTGGTGCCGAGGAGCATCGCACGGAGCATCCAAGCACGCACAGACTTCCCCGTTTCGACCAGCGTCGCAACAGGCCCCGCGTCACCCACACCACTCTCCGGAGCCAGGTTCGCATCACTCACCCTTGTAAAAATGTATCGTACAATTTAGAGCTATTATTTGGTTATACCATTTTTTTTGTTCCTTTGTTCGTGTCTAGTTTGGACAACGCCGTTGAAGCGTTGCTGTGCCGATTGTTTCTTTTATATGTGAGTAGCGCCTGTGCGCTAAGAAAAGTGGTGTGAATTTTTTTTTTACTTGAATTTCATTATGGGTAAAAGCGCCGCGCGCGAGAAGGGCAGAGTGACGTGTGATTATTATTTTGTTTTACGTTTGGTGTGTGCGTTGTCTTGAACGTGAGTCAAGTAAATTGTTTTCGTTATTTTAACGTAACGTGTCCGTCTCGTTCCTCGCCCCTCACAGTGAGTCCGTCCACCAGGGCGTGGACCTATCGTCCGGTCAGCGGTCCAAACAAAATTATAAATTTTGTTTGCATGGGGATCATTCGGATCTTTTATTGTTAATTTTCACCGAACCTGTGACAGATACAGAAAGGAGGCTTTTTACCTTTGATCCTTCCGGCTCTCTTGGGTCTGTTATCTACGCTCGGAGGAAGAGCTATCGCAAAGGCCATCTGAGTGCGAAAATGAAGAAGTACCATCTCATACCATACAAAGAAGAGCATACTCCTGATATTGTAAGAAAAGGCGGGGATGCGGATGACGTCAAACTGAAAAAAAAATCATTCACACGCTTCATAAAAGTTTACGTCCGTACAATCCGGATATTAACAACGGCATGCACAAGGAAACGATTCCCTTTACGAGAGAACAAATGTCGCAGACGAATGATGTCACGGAAGATCGCGACATCGATGCAGTCGTCAATATTTTGAGCAAAACCTATAGGGGAAAAGGTCGATCACTTCTAAATTTGTTAAAACCGGTGATTTCATGGGACCCACACACGTTAGAGATTATAATTGACGAGAAGCCTCTCCATGAGTCACATATCAATGATATGGTTTCTTATCTAATTTCGCGAGCGAAACAGATGCCAGTTCCCATTCATTTCGAACGTGTCGCGACGCTATTGGTCAGACAAAATCTGCCAACGAGCATCCTAAACTACTATCGCTTTAAAGGAAGAGTGGTCAAAGCAGGATCGACCAGTCGACCAGGATCCTCGTCTCCGAACATTTTGCCAAAGCGTTCCTCGGAGCAGCAAGAATCATCATCAGCATCGCCGTACTCACCTTCGACCTTCGCTGTTGCTGCTGCAGATGCCTGTGCTGATCCTGCCTCACGGACATCTAAACGAGTATTCGATAAGGCATGGAAGTTATTTTAGACGAAGATTACTTCAACGACGAGCTAATTTTTTCATCATTTCCTCCGCGTCAAAGAAAGAGGGTTCAGGGGCTCTTGGAGAGCATTTCGTCGGTGATTGCCTACACCCCCGATGGAAAGTTGGTTGTTCATGGAAAGAGGATCGAGAAATCCAACATAATCATTCTACTACGCTACCAGCTCTACAATAGACAACCTTCCTGGGTGAGAGGTGCAGTTTCCACCGTAATTAGTAACTTCCTGCACCTGTCAGCTTTTCGCGCTCAGTCTTACCGGCGGAAGTCGAGATGCCGTCGTCAGATAAGGAAAGCAAAGCGGTCTACTACAGAGCAGCCCATCCCGCATCCTTCGGTGGAGTCAATAGACTTGCCAGACATACAGGACGAAGAACGGCGGAAAAGTTTTTAGAGGGATCCGACGCTTACACCTTGTTTAGGGAAACCAAACGCCCTCGTCTATACCGCAAAAAGCTGTCCCTGGGACTTCGAGACGTCTATCAGGCGGACCTTGTGGAAATCAAAAGAAATTGCCAAATATAATGATGAAAAAAGTTACATTTTGCTTGTGATCGATACGTTTTCTCGATTTCTCTCCACCGTTCCGATCGCTCGAAAGACGGGAGAAGAGGTCGAGAGAGCGCTTGAAATCGTCTTTCGTAGGATGAAGAACAGTAGGCTTCCATGCACGGACCACGGCCATGAGTTTTACGGGAAATTAGTCGTGTCATATCTGAATAAGAAGGGAGTTAAATTGTATTTTGTGTTTTCAAAGCAAAAGGCTTCCATAGTAGAACGCGTGCAAAAAACCATTATGAGTCGGATCTATAAATACTTTGAGTCTGCAAGAACGAGGCGGTTAATAAAGATCCTTCCCAAAATTGTAAAATCCAAAAACCACAGCTACCACCGAACGCTGGGTGCTCGACCCATCGACGTCACCGAGAAGAATCAGACAGATTTCTTTCTTCATCTTTTCCCTCCTCCGTCGGGAGCACCCAAGAAACCGAAATTTCGGATCGGGGATCATGCCCACATATCCAAAGAACGACACCTTCTTTTAAAAAAGTACAAACAGTCCTTCACAGATGAGGTATTTATCGTCGACAGAATCCGATTAGGTATTCCCACAACATATTACTTCGTCGACATGGTGAGAAAAGAGCTCGTTCTCCGTTTTTTCTACGAAGCTGAGTTGCAACGTGTTTCCAACCCCGAAAACAAGGCCCGGATTATCGAGAAGATTTTGAGAAAACGACGTGCACCTGATCTCCAATACCTTGTGAAATGGAGAGGCTATGATTCCTCTCACAACAGTTAGGTTAGGGCAGGTGATTTTGAAAAAAAAATATGTATACGATGTTGTTCTTCACACTGCAATGAGCCTTTTCAATAGACTCTGCAGATTTGTTTGAGACACACACACGTACAGTGTTTTATTACTCTTTATTCAAAAAGTCCAAGAGACGCAATGTTGTCTCATGATCTAAATTTATCCCATACATCGAGGGTTTACCACCGAACACTCGTCTAATATGATACACATTGAATGGACATCGACGAAGATACATCGACTCACTTATATTGCAAGTGTCTTCGCACTGTAGGTCATGCTTCCGCAAGACACGAACGTCGGCCTCGTGAAGACATTGTTTTAGGTTGCGACTCTGCTTTTTGACCAAGTTTACGCCAATTTTCTCGGGATAGTACACATAGTACACGGGATAGTACACAGAAGAAACAAGAACTCGTTTTCGTCTTGAAATCAGCAAGGCTGACAGGTAACTACACTTTTTTTTTTACTTTATAAGTTCCGCAGTGTCACATAAACTGCTCCTGAACGCTTCGTGCGTAACCCTGTGATCGATCTTGATCGCGGTTTTGAGTGATCCAGGCGCATTGTTTGGTGGAGGTAGTTACAGGTGCGGTCGCGCGCTGTCATTCCTAAACACAAGACATCACGGACGTTTCGGCGGAAACTACGAAAAACTGTGGAAATGAGTGTACGGTTGGCAGGCACGGCCGTCGATTTGGTGTGTGATTCCGGCCCCGCAGTTTACTGTGAGGCTGCGGTAGCGGGCGAGTCAGACGGGTCTTCCGGCAATGAGAGACGCAGCTCCGGCGTACGTTTTTCTGCTGCCACCGAACGCGACGCAGAGAGTCAAGAAACAGTCTTGAACACCAGTGAAAAAAGCCTCTTTTCTGGAAGTTCTAATGTTTCCGTTCACATTAGTGACGGCGACAGTGGAGCCGCAGGTGCCGCAGGCGCGAAAATTCCGAAACCTTCAAGTGATGGAGAAAGCGGTTCTGTTGACCAATTAAGAAATGATTTAAGGCAATGGAGTATCAAGAACAGTATCTTCCATCAGGCTCTGAATGACCTTCTGAAATTGGCGAAGAACCATCCCTGCTTCTCTTCCCTGCCAAGCTGTGCTTAAACTATGCTTGATACTCCAAGAAACTGCCCAGCAATAACGGAGTTGGGTGGTGGGCAATATTGTCATTTTGGACTGGCTGCTGGTTTAGTGGACACTCTACAAGCTTTGACAACTCTCCCAGAATGCCTCTACTTGCAGATAAACATTGATGGGCTCCCTTTGACCACAAGCACACGGGACCAGTTCTGGCCAGTATTGTGTAGGGTTGC